GTAACAGTACCACCGAACAGATTATGGCTAAGCTTTTGTTGTCTGATTGGTTTTAAATTTAGTTTATTTACAATATCGGTTTTAATAAATGAGCGCTGAGCGCCAGAGTCTAACAGAGCCCTAACTGTTTGTATACCAAAATTAGAAATTAATTTAACTTTTAAGGTTTGTAACAAAACAGTCTTATTGTCTGATGTACTTGATTGCGTAACAGAAACTTGCTCACCATTATTTTGCCTTTCAACAGTTGGTGTGCGTTTCGTACTGTTACACATAATAGGAAAGTGTTTCTTACCACATATAACACATTTTGGGTGTTTCTTACATTTTTTCCAATGGTGTCCGATGCATAAACAAATTCCACAAGCTTTTTTACTTTTAATTATTTCGACTCGATCTTCCCATGACTTATTTACTGCTGCTACGCATTCTGAACTAGTGTGATTTGTTCTGTCGCAAAATAGACAAACCTTAAGATTGGCTTCAACAGGCTGTTTCACGTTACCTTTAGTAAAGTTCTGCTTGTCAGCTGTTGTGAAACAAGACGTAGTTGGAGTTTCTGCATTGGAAAATCTATTAGTGAACCCAGAACGCGCCCACCTGATTCTTTCTTCCGACTCTACCTCTTGTTTTACGAAATCTAATAGTCTTGACAGAGGATTTGAATCCTTCCCGCGTTGAAAATTCGATCTATGCCACGCTCTTAGAAGATCCTCTGGCAATGATGACTCAACCAGTGGATAGAGAAAGGAAGCATACTTATCTTGAGTCACGTTCATGCTTTCAAGTGCTAAAACTTGTGTGATTATCTTGTCGTACAGCGATCGAATGGAAGTTTTGTTTACGCCCTTGGCTTGAGCAAGTACCAGAAGCAATAACTCTCGCACATAGTGTTCAATGAGGAACTCATCTTGGGCGAATCTTTGTTTTAATTGCTTCACAGCGTTTGCATAGTTACTCCCGGAAGGTGGAAAGCTCTCAATAAATTCTCTCGCTGTGGATCCTTCTTCCATGCATTGTATTAAGTATTGGAATTTGTCGTCGTTGTCTATTTTTTCATCAGTATCAATTTTTTTGAACTGCGTCCAAAATATCAACCATCGATTAATGTCTCCGTTAAATTTAGGTAATTCAAGTTTTGGTAAGCGATAATGACGATTTACTTCATCTTGGTTTTCTTTAATTGTGCAAGAATGACTTGATGTCGAAGTACTTTTGGATTCCAAATATTTACTGACTTTTTGTTCGAGAGTATACCAAACGTTAATGTACTCGTCAGCCTCGTCTGTATCTCTTTCAAAAAGCTCATCATTCCTTTCAGAATCATCCAGCCACATAGTCATTACTTTATTTTGTGCTACTGTTAGGTCATTATATATATTAGTCAGTTTTTTAAATTCTACGGCAATATCATCTTTGTTTTTTACAGTACTTACGATGTTTTCTAGCTTATTAGCACAAATTGTGAATCGTCTTCTTGCCACAGATCTCTCGGTTTTCGCCCGCTCCATATTTTATCCCACGGTCGCCAGATGTTATTGTAAACAATTAATTATATAGGTTCGAAGGAGCGGTAGTAGGTATTTTCAAAATGTTCAATTTAAGGAAAACACTATTTTTTAAAAGAAGGAATATATTTTAGTGAAAAATTACAAATTACGAATAAAAATATGAGAGACCATTTTCCTTTTTTTTTGTTAATGTGACATCTGCCACTTATTATTTTTAAGATGAGGTATAGAACCTCAACAACACCCATAGCCATTAAAAATGATTCGTATGTTTTCCAAACCGGTAAAATTAAAAGTCCTTTTTAAAGTAAATATATTATACAAAGGTGTCCGTTGAAATCTAATGACTGTAAATTAAATTATAAATTACGCTAAGAATTACCGTGTATGTCAATATTTTTTGTGCATTTAGGCCAATTTGAGCAATCTCCTTTGGCATGCAGGGGCAGATGTTTGTGTGATGAATACTAGCATTTGTTCTCCAGTCATGGATGTTTAATAGGTATTTCTGTATAAGTATACTTATATATATACAGTATATGTATTCTATCCGGTACCCTAGTATCCCATAACACAAGCCTTATAGTGCTAAGCTTGAGGCTAGGCTAATTGGTGTGAGCGTTGGAAATATTTATTTATATTTTTATATACATCAATAGACTTAAGAGACTTACATTTTAATTCGATTAAATAAAGATAATGCTGCTCTGAGTCTGATTTGTAAACTGTAAAATTTTAAAAAAAACTAATATTATAAATATGAACATTTCTATTTTTTGTTATTTGTTTCTCAATCACTCAAAAACTGAAAACGGATTTGGATGAAAGGACATCACTCGTTCCCCATACATTGAATGCCCCAGAATGCACAACAATGATAAAATGCTAGTTGTGTTCTAAAGAGACATTTGAGAAATAGGAAATAGGTATTCAAAAAACTATTGCTGTCGCGTATTAGCAAATACCGTGCGATAGGTACAGTAAAAATTGCAAAATTAGAGGTTTAGCTCTCAACGATTACCTCTTCAAAAATATGATCTTTGTAAAAGAAATTTTACCCATAGCATAATTAGTAGTTATGCTAGGCCTCTACGTTTTGCTTCTTTTGTAAACGCTTATTAAATGTCCACTCTAGACGATTTTATTGGTGACAAAAATGTGTTTATTCTTGGCAATTTTGAGGGCTTCTAGTTGATTTGAAGCACAATTTATAGAAAAATGGAAGGCATAGGAGCATTGAATAAGCAAAAATCTATATATATGTTACGCTCAAAGATTGCAAACGCTCAGTGAGCGGAAAAATAGCTCACAACGTGTTGTGCTCACAGTAAAACATCCACATGACGAAATTCGTGTTATGGCTCTAATGAAAACGCGCACGACGCGTTGTGGCAATCACAGAAAGACCAAATAGCGAAATTCGTGTCGTAGCTGACATGCTATTCGATCTCAATAGTAGGATCCATATTGGAAAGTAGTGTGCGTCGTAATCAAAGAATATTCCATACGCATCATGGCTTTTCTTCATTGCCACAACGCGTTGAGATCGAATAGCATGTCAGCCACGACACGAATTTCGCTATTTGGTCTTTCTGTGATTGCCACAACGCGGCGTACGCGTTTTCATTAGAGCCATAACACGAATTTCGCCATGTGGTGTTTTACTGTGACCACAACGCGTTGTGAGCTATTTTTCCGCTCATTGAGCGTTTTCGATCTTTGAGCGTAACATATATATAAAACTCAAAGGTGACTGACTGACATAGTGATCTATCAACGCACAGCCCAAACCACAGAACGGATCGGGCTGAAATTTGGCATGCAGGTAAATGTTATGACGTAGGCATCTGCTAAGAAAGGATTTTGATCCATTCTACCCCCAAGGGGATAAAATAAGGAATGAAAGTTTGTATGAAACTTTGTCAATTTTAAACCGATTGGGCTGAGAATTTGCACGCAGGTATAAGAAGAGTCATAGATGAATGTCATTGTGTATAATACACGCCTGAGAACAAAAACTGTAGTCTACACTTCAGCTCTACACCGAAGCGAAGCGAGGGCGGGCCACTAGTATAATATATAATGTATGAAAATAATTTATTTAGTGATACAAATGTGAACAAGGAGGAATCAGTCGAGAACGATTTTATGGAAAAAAAACACTGTCCGCCTTTTAACAAACATTTTTATTGGCGACCAAGCCACTGTCGCTAGTGCTCATACACACACGCGCACTGCAGAAAGCTTTGCCTATATGCCTTCTTTACTCATGTGGTAGAGTTGGGCACACCGCGCGGTCTGTCGATGACGCGTCATTAATTTATGTTCTTGCCGCGATATGTATTCGATAAATTTCACGTAAGCATACTCGTACCTACTAGGTTTATACCGCACGCAATGTTCCGGAGTCTGGAGTCAACGAGCCGGACCGACCCAACGGAATTTATTGTAATACTTACGAATTATATAGTGTCTACCTACATATATTATACTTACTTAAATAAAACTAGTTTTTACGGGTTAATGCACGAAACTTTGTTTATTTCTTGACGTTTCGTAGCCTTTTTGTTTGCATAATTTAACATAAGAAGGAGATAGAAAGCCTTTCTTGAGTTTGTTTCGCCGGTTCTTCTCAGAAAGGTCTCCCAATTTTGGAACCGGTAGTAGTTTACGGTAGTTAGGGTCAAATAAATAAACTCAAAATTACATAAAAGAATTTTAAATAAAATACTTTATATAAATTCATACACAGACAATAAAACTTTAAAAATCGAACAATGAAATAACCGAACGCTCAATAAAAGTCTTTCGAAGGTAGCTCGACAAATTAAATAAAAGTTTGATTCTGACGACGTAGCCTGTAAAGGCTACGAAACGTCAATAAATAAATAAAGTTTCGTGCATTAACTCGTAAAAACTAGCTTTATTTATTGAGTTATGTGCGTGAAAACCTAAGAAACAAATTATGCTTACTTCCCAATAGACAACAACAATCGTTTGGAACGAAGTTATTAGTAGATTGTTTACTAAGAGGGAAAATACTATTTAAAGGCATCTCGCCTTTTTTGAAGGCAAATCAGAATTTTATAGATATCACATCTTAAATCAAGTCAAAAGGGGAAGATACGGTACGCTCTTACTTGCTTTGAATAAAAAATGATCCGACTCAACCACATGCCCTTGAAATATTTATTTTATTGTGTTTTTAGTATTATATTTATACATAAACATGGCATCAGTAGGTACGCTTACAGAGGAAGACGGCGTAGGTGGAAAGCGCGTTCGGCTGCGATCGTTTGAAGTTAAGCAAATTTGGATGGGTGACCAAAATTCTTCTATCTCGAGTTCCTCCTTGCTTCGGAAGGTACGTTAAGCCGTTGGTCCCGGCTGCATTTCCAGTCGTTAGTCCGCATTGGGCCCACGTGGTGGGTCATGGCCCAACCTCCCTATTTAATTCATAGGGAAGGCCTGTGCTCCAGCAGTGGGGTCCAGTGCTGCCAACACCAAAAAATATTTTCTGCTAAATCTACATTTAAAAAATGCCAAAAATATGCTAAAATTTTTCAGAAAATGCTAAAAAAAAATGCCAACACAGAGAAAAAGAGCATTTATTAAAAAATCTTTACAATAAGTGTAAAGAAGCACTCATTTTAAGAAATAAATAAGAAATCGTCGGAATCCTCTTCCATAGATGTAGCCGGATTTGGAGCTGAAGATGTATATGCATAAGCCTCATTTGTCCCTATTTTTCGCAATATTGGGCCAGGGACCTCGTAGGAGTGACAGCATTTGTTGACCCTTTTTAAACCAAATCTCACGTATAAAATTGCGTTTAAAGTTGAAGTTGATAAACTGTTCCTGAGTTTAGTTTTTACCAAGTTAACTTGGCTAAATACACGCTCTACCTCTGCATTTGAATGTGGTAATGTTAATAACATTGTTACAAATGCAGCCAATTCCTTGAAGGGGTTATTTCCAGCAGCGTCCTTGTACTCCAGAACTTCACACCAAAATTCAGCAGTAGAGGAAGTACATTGCCATTGTATAAAAACAATGTTTCGCCATTGTGATATAAGTTTGTCAATTCCTGTTGCATCTATATTAAATTCTTGCGCTATTTCAATGATTGGTGGTTTAATAACTTTTAGCGTCTCTTGTACTGAAAATATTGAAATTTTTCGTAGAACTGCAAAGTTCGTAGGCAATCTCGCTTGTAATTCTGTTACAAGTTTAATGGTAAAATTAACGCATCGCTGTTTAACGTGTTGCGTCACTTCTCGTGCTAGATTATACTCTCTTAACTTTGTCTCAAAAGCGTAACCCATGTACAGCGACGGATCTACGTAACTGGCAATATTTTGTGTTAGTACGTCAACTCTGGCTGTAGGATTCAAAATGCGTCGACTTATAGATTCCGTTAAGCCAATAAGATCATCATAAAGTTTAGTTATATCAACATCGTTTTTTTCAAAAAGTTTATTTACCATTTGGACTTCTTGTACGATTGGCTTAATATAAATTAAATATAAATGGTTTACGGGGTCACTGTACATATTATATAACATTTCTGCCATGTAACATTGTTCGCTGCTTCTGGCAACTTGAAACAACAGTTTCAGTTCGTCCCATTGCTCTAAAATACGACATACAGCTGGCTCGATGGATATCCATCTAGTATTGCACAACCGAGGGATTTTAAGGGGCTCTGATCCAAAGTTCATAGTTTTATATAATTCTTTATAGTAAATTTGCCGCTTCGACGAATGACTGAACCAGTTATATGTTTCACGTATTAAAAAATCTATATTTCTAGGTAGTGTCTGTTCGGAGGCATGTGATATTGCTAATTGTAAGGAATGACACACACAGCGTATTAATACTAAGTTATCTTTGCCAGTTTCAGTTTTTAGCAATTGATGAACGCCATTGGTGGTTCCTGTCATAACAGCTGCGTTATCCGTACCAACGCCAATTATATTTTTTATATTCAAATTCAAACTGGAAAACAATAACTTTAAGCCTTTCACAATACCGTTGGCTGTTCCATCTTCAAGTTCGACCAATCCCAAAAAAGTAGAAACAATTTTCTTCAACGTTAAGCTGAAATATCTGACTGTCACGCCCAATAATTTGCTAACTGAGACATCTGTGGATTCGTCAATCATTAAACTATATTCTTGATCTCCAATATCGTCTACTAATTCTTTATAAAAATGTGGTGCCAATATGTTCTTAATTATATGTGTGCACTTTGTCCTGTGCAGTCGCAAGTCGTTAGCACTTTGGCTCTCACTAAATCTTTTCTTACATACTTGCGACAAATGATCAGTGGTCAAAATAGAACAATGTTCACATATGAACATAGCAAGGGCGCTTTCAGCTTTTTGAGTTTCGAGATTGTTTATTATTTTTGGGAATTCAAGTTTTTTTTGACTTCTCATTGGTTCCATAGCTTTGAGGTGTTTCGAAGATGAAGCATGCTGTTTTAAACAGTAATATTTTGCCACAATTTGCGACTTGCAATACTTACAGTACGCTTTTGTGCTGTCGCTTTCGACCGGTTGAAGCCACTCTTTAAAAACGGACATTGATTCCCACTCTACACGATAATGTTGGTTATATTTTGGAGGCATTGTCAATTTTATCAAGTCTTTAAAACTTATTTAATAACTAAGTAACCACACAAAACTCGAAAAAATAGAACAAAAGTACCGACCGATCAACTAAAGGTAGTGTAGGTACTTGTTCCATCCCAGCGGGATTCCCCTGACCATAGTGTCTATGTCTACGGTTGCGTTCAGAAACATCACCGCGTTTTTTTGCGTTCGGAAAGTCAAGTTTATTTGTGAAGCCTAATAAAAAAATGTGCAAAAGGCAGAATTATCATATCGGGGTAAAGTGCTAAAAATATGCTATATGCTAAATTGAATTTATTCGTGCTAAATCACTTAGAAATATGCTAAATTTAGCCCAAAAAATGCTAAATTGGCAGCACTGGTGGGGTCATTAATAGGATGATGATGATGTTGGAAACAAGATCAAGTCACAGACAAGTTGGTTTAACCAAGTCATTCATTGCAGTCGAGTAACCTTTTTACCCGACTGCGCAATGCAAGAGCGCGAAGCGCGACGCGCAGAGAGGGTATAGTGTTTAACAGTCTATATATGTATGTTTGTTCTCTTGTGGCACACTAGAGACTAAACGCGTGGATCAGTTTTGATGATTTATACATCAATCGATTCGTCTTAATCATGGGAGTGCTACTAAAGATATGATAATAATCAAAAATCAATATGGAGACAACTGGGCGCCATATTGTGAGAAAGAAAAAAAAATAAGTTGCCGAAATATGTCGAGTGGGACCCATTAGATATTCAAGGATGGATAATTTTTTTTCAATAATGGGTCCCGACTGTTAAAGTAGCTTTGTTCCCTACTTAACAGAATTATCGACTACTGGACTTGTTTTTTTCTTTTCAGTTTTTATTTGAAGTAATATTTAAGCAGTCGGGTCTTTTGATTTCTTAAATTTACCTTTTTTTATTTAGTAAAATGTGATCCACTCGACGACGGTTCTCAGAGTACAATATATTCACTTATTTTGACTTTTCCGATCATTTTAGGGCAGAACAAGCGTGATTTTAAACTATTTTATTAATATTTTTTACTATTGTATTTAATAATGCGAATCCCCAAAACCCATATACAGTTTCCATATGCATATACGATACAACTTTAATGAGCATATAAACTTTATACTATTGTTGCGATTATTATATAAAACATATGAATGTCGAAGATTATATTCGAAAGATTATCAAAAGTCGCCTTCAAACAAGTTAAGCCGTCTAATCCCTGGAGAGGAGAGATTGATTGGACGACCTCGCCGCCAAAGGGGCGTAAGTGAGACTTTTCAACTTTTTTAACTTCTCAAATTCTCGTTCGAGTGCAGTAAGTACTTGGGAACTTTGCTCTCCATTGTGTCTGAACGAATTTTTCCCGTTTTCTATTGGCGCAGTACGATGGATTTTAAGGAAATTGGAACGATTGTTGCTTGTTCAACTCGGAAAGTTGGTAAAGTTTCTTGACTTTGCGACGCTTTAAGGTTTTTAGATTTTTATTAGATTTTTGTGGATTGTTAAAAGTTATTATCGGTCCTTTAATGTGCCTACTGCGGCCAAGATTATCACGATATAACAGTTCTTATTCATGACAAGACACCGCGAACTAAACGTCTACTTGCAAAAAATAATTCACAGATAATTTTTAGGATATTTAATTTCCCCAATTGTTGACCAAACATTTTACCGTGAACACCTAGGTTAGGCATTGATGGTATCTCTTCTAAATTAATGGCGAAAAACGGCCATAACATTAAGATTTTTATTTGGCAATCAAACTCAGCAATCTGTAAAACGTCAAAGTTTTGTATTAATACGGATTTGTTTGTTGTTGTGATTTCTTGCGTTTTTTGTATTAATCATGTCTAAAAGGGGTAAAACCTTACAAATACGGTAGAAAAGCACTACAGCGCCCTCCAATCTAAATCCTATTCTCTTTCCGCACTGACTCTAACACAAGGGTTGGCATTGATGGTACCTCTAGAAAATTCGAAGTCTTTGGCTTTTCCCGTGGCATATTTAATTAACTTAAGTATTAGGTATAACACAGTCCTCCAGGCAGAGTCTGTGGGCATCATTAGAGCCGCAGAGGCGATAGACTGCCGCGGGGTAAGAGGAAAACATGTTCGTATTCTCTCTGACAGCGCTTCTGTCCTACAGGCACCGGGCAACAATATAATGACATCAGGCTTAAATTATGAATGTCACTGGAAGTTATCCAATATTTGTAATGACCATAGACTGACCTTACAATGGATTAAAGGACACACTGACTGCTTGGCTAGACAGGGGTCCAGCAGGACGGCCATTGGTCCGGAGCCGATTGTACCCATACCTTATCGACAGCTGAGAACCTGGATAAGGGAGCGCTGTCAACGACAACACGAAGAATATTGATCAAAACACACGGACTGCAGGCAAGATAGGGAAGCCGTTCCTAAGGTAAACCAGTAGCTATCACTTAAGTTAATCTGACTACCTAGGCAAGCCCTGAAATAAGCCCTGAAACTCACGGGTCACAGCTACTTCAACAAATACCTTTATAATATAGGTATTTCTGACAGCCCTCTGTGCAGAGCCTGCCTGGAGGAGGAGGAGACGAGCGCCCATGTTCTGCTGGAGTGCAGAGGCGTTGCAAGACAAAAGACCTCTAATAGGAAGCCCGCGGACACTAGTAGAAGCCTGCAGCAACATCCGGGGACTGTTGAGCTGGATGCTGGGATGGCAGGACTGATGCCAATCCCCACGCAAAAAAGGCACTGGAAGTCGAGTTGCTGCCTTCCGTACTACTAAGACTAAGACGTATTAGGTATCTGTGGAATATTCCCCGACGGGTTTAAAACTTAAATTTTACCAAGCCGAGCTTTAAAAGAGGACATAAGTCGGATATAAAAAAAACTATTGCTCAGTTACCGATCTTCTCAAAAGTGTTTGAAAAATAATACATGATGACGTGATTTCTAATTTCTTTGAAAAATATTATGTGTTTGTTAAGGAGTTACTGGAGATAAATATTCATTTGTACTGACAAAAATAAATAATATACAGTGTAAACACTAACCTAAGTTCCACAAATAAAATTCTGATTTTGATTTTAAGATATCAATGACCAAACTGTTGACAGGGTTGTCTACACCAATCAATTGCACCTGATTGTTCCAAACAAATTAATGGCGCGTCTCAAGCAGAGGCCGCCGCCGCGCCGGTGGCAACCAAATCATATGAGTAAAGAAGACGCAGAGGCATCACTTCGAGAAATGCGCGTGTGTAAGTGAGCACTGGCGGTCTCTTTTTTTGTGTCTGGAAAATGCCTTACGCATCGTTCAACCACTGGGGGAGCGAGTAGAAGGTATGTGGGACTCCTCCCTGTCCTCTTCAGCCAGCCCTGGAGCTCGCTGCTGTGAACAGGGCCCTACCTACGCCCTGAACAGGGCCACTAAAAACCAGACAATACTTCTGCACCGTCACTCGACACGCACTATGAGGACCGCGGTCCCCCTAGTGCGCCGAACCCGTCTCCGAATGGCCGCGCACAAGCACTGGCGGTCTGTCGCGCACGCAGAAAAAGATTTCTATTTGCAGCGACGGCATAGTCTACATATAAAGTGCTCTGGAGCAACGCACACATAGACACCGCTAACAGACATGATTACTCGGACTAATTGGGACCACTCTGTGAAATATTTTTGTCCAATATGCATTTATGAGATATGTATTTAGTCTAGTTTAGTATTTTCATGTCTATGGGGATTTATGGCGCTGAATACTGAAATACAAGCATTGCCTAGTTCAGCAGCAGAGGCTAATAAATTATACTTTCTGTATAACTAGTGCTAAGTTTGTTACGTAATCTTACTGTACTGAGTTTTTTGGTCAATAAATCTTATTATTATTATTATTAATAATGGGTCAACAAAAACTAAAGTATTATGTCTGTATTATAAGTAGTATAAGTATTATATATGTTCAGTAGACGCTTGTTTAAATTCGTTATTAAACGGTGAATTCTCGTTCTTTAAATTTGTAATATCATAACAATAACACGAAAATTGTTATATTTTAGTTATATTATTCTTTCATATTTCTGTTCTTTCTGTTTTATTCTCAATTAATTATGAATACCACTACCACGATAGTTTTTTGTACGCTAAGCCTAAGTTACCCTAGCGTAACCGCCGCTTAGAGCGTAGGCATGAAAAGTGAAGTACATACATGAGATTTCCTTCTCTACTGTATTTTGTTTTTTAAATTCGAACTCTTTGGCTTTTCCTGTGGCATCTCTTATCTATTAGACAAGTCCGTCCGTCTGTGGTGCTGTTTCAGCGGCCAAACCGTAAGAGATAGATAAAGAGAATATTTAAGTTATAAGTTAAGAATAGTCTGACAAGACTACAAACCGGATTTGAGTAACGTAACACTTCCGGTTTTCGAGAAATCACGAATTTCAAACGAAAACACACAAAATCTCCGAAGTTCTCAATTAATTAAATACTTTTTTTTTTTTAAATCAGGTTTTTGTGAACATTTGGTTCACTGGTTTGCTAGTATTTGATTAACTTCAATATTAGGTATAACACGGTCTTCCAGGCAGAGTGTGTGGGTATCATCAGAGCCGCAGAGGTGATAGACTACCACGGGGTAAGAGTATTCGTATTCTCTCTGACAGCGCTTCTGTCCTACAGGCACTGGACAACAATATAATGACATCAGGCTTAATTTATGAATGTCACTGTAAGTTATCCAATATTTGTATGACAATAGACTGACCTTACAATGGATTAAAGGACACAGCGGCTCCAGGGGTAACGATGCGGCTGACTGCTTGGCTAGACAGTGGTCCAGCAGGATGGCCATTGGTCCGGAGCCAATTTTGTGAATCAAATGTATTTTGTGGCAACAGCCCGCCAGTGCTCACTTACACTGGCGCACTGCATGAAGCTCGCTCTCTGTGTATTCTTTACTCATTCTTTACTCATGTAACCAAATTGCCGATCTCGTCCCAACCCGCGCCACGTGCCGAATCCAAAATATGCCAGCGACATTGATGAATTAGTTTAAATTTGTTTGTCGAGCTCCATTCGTGGTTCGTGCCATTGTTCCCGGAAAACTTACTACATACGATTTCGCTTCGGCAGAACGTGTTTCACTAACCACTATGAAATGCTGTAACGTTTTCGAAGTCAATCGACTTTTGAGTTTGACTAAAGTTGATGCTGTCATTTTACTAGCGAAAAAGATAGTATGAGACAACACGTGACTTACTTAAGCATTGAAATAATTTGATGTACATACAATGGAATTCTACTATTATAATAAACTAGCGGCCGCCCGCGACTATGTCCGCGTTAACTTTTAGTTTTTTTTTCTAAAATGAAA